ATAGAATTAGGAATGCAGGTACAAGCTCCGCAAGAGCACACAGAAAACCAAGAACAAATTGAGATAAACGATGGCCAACCTCTAAATACGCAGATGAGTTCAGGGGCTTGTTCATGAAGTATGATGGTGTGGAACCAACTCTTAAACCAAGCCTACCAAAGCTAATAATAAAACCCCATACATCTGAGTATATCGCTGAAGTTAACAAAGTAATAGATAACGAGATTACAGAAGATACAACCTTGACTGAGCTCCATAGCCTGTTGTACATTGGAGCACTTACAGTCCTAAAATTAAATGAACAGAGAGTTGGCGAACAATGTGTAAGGAAAAACAGAAAACTGCCAGCCTGGGAGATGAGGATATCGCGTAATATAGAGGAGATTAGAAAGGACATAGCAATACTCACCCAGTACCGCAGGTCTGACTGTAGTCTGAGAGTAAAGAGATCCGCAGAGAATGTGATAAACCGTCACTGCTCGGAGGAGAACCCAACAGCCGTAGAAGTCTTGGACTACCTGAAGCAAAAACTAGCAGCTACAGCACTGCGACTTCGAAGGTACAAGAAAAGCAACGAACGCCGGAAACAAAATCGAGCATTCGAGACCAATCAGCGAGGCTTTTACAGGAACTTGCAGGCGCGACGGAGGGATACAGATCAGAACAACGTTCAGATTCCTACCTCAGATGCCATCAATACCTTCTGGTCAGGAATTTGGAGCAATCCAATCAATCATTCCACATCTAAATGGTACCGCCAAGAGAAAGCAAATAATTCAACTTTTAGGACCATGCTCGACTGGAAAGTAAGCTTAGATGACGTGGTAAATACTCTACGAAAATTACCAAACTGGAAAGCCCCAGGATCAGATAAGCTTCAGAATTATTGGCTAAAAACGTTCACTTCAGCTCACGATCAACTCGCAAAGTGTTACACCTAATCTTAGAGCAACCAGATATGTTGCCCAGAGTTCTTAACAATGGGAATAAACATATTTAATCCCAAAGTGCGGCGATCACTCGAACGCTCCGGCAAAATACCGACCAATCACCTGTCTGCCGACTATTTACAAGGTATTGACTGCTATAATTACTGAAAAGATATATTCACACTAGAGCGGAATACTATACTAGACGAAGAGCAAAAAGGTTGCCGAAAAGGGTCTCGAGGCTGTAAAGAGCAACTTGTTATAGACTCTGTCATAACTAATTATGCCAAAAGAAAAAAATACCCCTGTACATTGCATACATCGATTATCAGAAAGCGTTTGACAGTATACCTCACTCTTGGCTGTTAGAGGTGCTTGACCTTTATGGGATCGAGTGCCACATCAAACAATTTCTGGCACATGCTATGGCGAATTGGAAGACACGGCTCTATCTCAACACCCAAGATACGCAATTCAGTGCCGGAGAGGTATCCATCAAGAGAGGAATATTTCAAGGAGACTCTTTAAGTCCGCTATGGTTCTGCTTAGCGCTTAGACCGTTAACAACAATGCTAAATAGCCAAAAGAAAGGAATACTGTTAGGTGGCAATGAAACACGCATTTCACATCTTTGGTACATGGACGACCTCAAACTTTTGCAGAAACCAAAGACATCTTCATAAGCTTCTGGACTGTGTAAGTAAATTCAGCACTGACATCAAGATGCTGTTTGGCTTAGACAAGTGCAAGATCAGTTGCATGGTAAAAGGCCAGTGGAGTAAACATTCAGGATATGAGCCGAACCAAGTGCAAGGGAAAATTGAAGGAATGCAGCAAGATGAACAGTATAAATACTTAGGCTATCTACAAGCGCCGGGCATAGACCAGAAAGCTGCAAAAGAAAAGGCAATGGAGCACTATAGAACACGTTTGAGGGCGGTGCTGAAAACAAGTCTGTCAGCTCGTAATACAGCACTTGCTGTCAGCACCTACGCTACTTCGGTCCTTACCTATACGTTTGGCATACTGAACTGGACGGATACAGAACTGAACGCACTTAATGTGGAAACCAGAAAAGAATTCCGTAAATACCGGGGACACCACCCACATAGTTCCATAGAGCGGTTCCATCTACCACGAAGTGAGGGTGGCAGAGGAATACCTTGCATACCTACACTACATCACCGCCAAGTGGACAATCTACGCCAGTACTTCCTCCAAAAAGCCACATCCAGCAGAATGCATCAAGCAATAACACAGACGGATAAAAAGTTGACACCACTAAACCTTTCAGAAAAATCTTTCGACCCTGAGTGCAAAGATAACCCCAATGCAGGATCTGGTTCGCCAATGGAAAGCCAAACCACTACATGGTCGGTATAGGAGCCGCATAGAAGACAACGCCATTGACACGAAGGCTTCCCAAGGATGGTTTGCAGTCAGGTAATCTGTTCCTGGAGACGGAGGGCTTCATAGCCTCCATCCAGGATCAGGTAGTCCCAACAAAGTTGTACCGAAAGCGTATAATGCATGAGAACGTTGACGATATCAGATGCCGCATATGTGGGGAAAAAGATGAGCACATAGATCATATTGTAGCAGGGTGCTCTCCCTTAGCTCCTAAACAATATCTTGAAAGGCACAATGATGTGGCCAAAATACTTTATCAAGCTTTGGCTAAAAAGCATCTAGGAGAAACTGGTACACAAGCCCTACTATAAATACACGCCGCCACCTGTGATAGAAACGGAGACCTCTAGGCTGTACTGGAACCGTAAAATCATAACTGACAGGCCCATCCCCAACAATATTCCTGACATAGTGCTCACACTAAAAGAAGAAAGAACGACGTTTATAATAGACATAGCTGTGCCTCTTCCTACTAATATCCAAACCACCCATGCGGAAAAAATCAATAAGTATTTGCCACTCTCCGACGAAATCAAACGCATGTGGGAAATGGGCAATGTTGTCTATAATACCAGTTATAATAGAGCTACTGGAGAGATACCAAGGAAAACTACACAAGAGTCTGGAAAAGCTACAGCTCCATCCAAAAATATACTTGCAACTGCAAAAAGCTGCACTGCTGGGAACATGTAGGACAGTACGTAGGGTTTTAGGAGATGAGAACCGGATACGGTGAAAAGAACCGCTGCAGATCTATTTCCTTACTTTGGCTAACCGCCTGAGGGAAATATTAAGACCGTCGACAGAGGAGTAAAAGAGTATAAAATAATAATATATAATAATAATAATAATAAATAATAATAATAAAATAATATATAATAATAATATAATATATATAATAATAATAATAATAAGAATAATAATAATAATATAATAATATATATAATAATAATAATATAATAATAATATAATAATAATATAATATAATAATAATAATATCTATAATAATAATAATATATAATAATAATAATAATATAAAAAATAATAATATTATAATAATAATAATAATAAATAATAATAATAATAAAATAATAATAATAATAATAATAATTATAATAATAATATAAATATAATAATAATAATAATATAATAATAATATAATAATAATAATATAATATATAATATAATAATAATAATATTATATAATAATAATAATCATAATAATAATAATAATAATACTATATTATAATAATAATAAGAATAATAATAAAATAATTATAATAATAATAATCATAATAATAATATAATATATAATAATAGTAATAATATAATAATAATATTAAATTATAATAATAAATAACATAATAATAATATATAATATAATAATAATAATTATAACAATAATAATTATAATAATTAATAATAATAATAATAATATAATAATAGTTATAATAATATCAATAAATATAATAAAAAATAATAATAATAATAATAATATAATATAATTATAATAATAATAATATAAATAATAATATTATATAATAATAAAGTTATAAATAATAATAATCATGATAATAATAATATAATAATAATAATAATATTAATTAAATAATAATAATAATTATAATTAATAATAATAATAATAATTATAACAATAATAAATATAATAGCAATAATAATAATCATGATAATAATAATTATAATATATAATAATGATAGTTAAATAATAAAATCAAATAATAATAATAATTATATTATAAATTAATATAATAAATAATCAAATAAATAATTATAATATTATTATTATAATAATGATAAGAATAATAATAATAATCATAATAATAATAATAATAATAATTATAATAACAAGTTATAATAATATTAATAATAAAATAATAATCATAATAATAATTATTGTAATAATAATAATAATAATATAAAATAAAAATAACAATAATAAATTATAATAATAATCTAATAATAGTAATAATATAATAATAATTATAATATAATAATTATAACAATAATAATAATATTTATAATAATAACAATAATAATAATAATAATAAATAATAATAATAATAATGTAGCCACATAGACAAAGAGAACCAATAGTCACACTCAGACGCTTGCAGTATAATGCCGCGTTTGAGGATACCACCTGCAGTAGCAGAGAATAGCTAACAGAAAACGGAATAATAATAGCTATAATAATAATAACATAGTTATAATATAATATTGATAATAATAATAATATAGTTATAATAATAATAAATTATAATAATAAAATAAATACTGATAATAATTTATATAATAATAATATGATAGTTATAATAATAATCAATAATAAAATAATAATAATAATAATAATTATAATAATGATAATAGTTAATAATAATATTAATATAATAAAATCATAATAATAATGTCTGGCCGGTTAGGACACTGTTGCCAGCTGTGTCAAACCCGCTACCGTAGCAACAACAAGGATAGACGGTACAGCCAGCGATCCTCCAGTGTGTGCCAGGGTTTTTTGTGTCTCTTCCTCCTGGTGCAGGAAAACATATCATGTGCAGAATGTGTACATATCGGCTCCTAGATGGAGTCGTATAAAAAGAGCCACACCCATAATTTCTTTATGGAGATGAATTTTGAATATAGCCTCGGAAAAAGGTCGCTGCCTGAGGGTGATCGTCAGGGCATCTGGAGCCGGCGCTGGATATGACAGCATGCGGGACGTCGGTGGCAGGGTGCTGAGGAGGCGGGCCCCTGTCGTCCAAGAAGCAACAGCCCCCCAACAAAGTGGTAGCCAAACAACAACTAGTGCCACCGCTGCCGAAAGTGCTGCACAGGAATCTCAGCCAGTGCTCACTCAAGCAGGTCTCCCTAGAAGACGTATAAAGTGGACGGTGTCCATGAATGAGTCAATCATGCGAATCTTCTACAAAAGTTACCAACCTAGGTAGAGAAACAATCGGCTTTCTGTAGTGAATATCCGGAGATCAAAGTATCTGAGCAGAGAGTGGCAGACCAATATCGAGTGATAATCAAAAATAATCTTATCCCACAACCAAGACTGAATGCCATCAAACAGAAAGTGCAGCTTGATCTTATGCAACAAGAAGGGAGTAATAACGAAATACGCGATAATGGTCAATCTGAGCAAGAACAGATAGAAAGTGAACAGCCTGGAGTTGACGACAGTAATGATCAAGACACAGAAATATTTGGTATATTAATAACTGAAATGGGTAGAGCATATGCCGAATTTGATGGAACGAACCCGCTAGAAAGACCACCATTACCAAAGTTGAAGTCATCTAGAAAGCTTGCTGTGGTATTGTGTCAGTTAAATAAACAGATCCTGCCAGAGTATCTAGCACACTCCAACTGTATAGAACAACTTCACACACTGATATACTGTGCAGCTGTTGCAACAGTAAGAACACTTGGTGTCAAAATGCCAACTCAAAAGATTACTGAAAATTCAGTAAAACCAATAACACCAAAATGGGAAAAACGTCTGGAAAGAAGAACGGCAGACATTCGCAGAGATATCGGACGTCTTACCCAATTCACACGAGGAATAACAACTCGAAAAGTCCGAAAGCAAGCTATGGAAATCAACGACTCATTCTCACCAAGACGCAACTAACATCAACGAGTGGCAATGCCTTGATACCTTGAAGCAAAAACTGTCCGTATATACTCAGCGATTGAAAAGGTATAAAGCGTCCAGTCACAGAAAGCACGACAATGCGCTCTTTCAACGATCCGAAAAGGCATTCTACAGGAAACTGTCATCCGAACCCCAGGAAAAGAGCAAAACGGTGCCCACAAAGGACCAAGTAGAGGAATTTTGGGGCAAGCAGTTTGGCTCGACAGCTTATTACAACAAGTGTGCAGGATGGATTACAGATGAAGAAGCGAAGAGCCATTATTGCAATCCCATGCAGTATAGGGCATATACCAAACAAGAAATCGTGGATATCGTTAAGCAGTTGCATAATTGGAAGGCCCCGGGCCCAGACCAGATTCATGGCTACTGGATAAAGAAGCTTTGGTGCATGCATGAACAACTAACAAGATATATCAATGACATGCTTTTGAATCCAAATAAGACTCCAACGTTCCTAACACAAGGGCTAACGGTATTAATACCAAAAGATCACAATAATACAGAATACCCAGCAAAAATACGCCCAATACCTGCCTTCCTACGCTATACAAGGTGGTCACTGCTTGTATATCGAAGCGAATTTATGCTCATTGTGAAGAAAACGATATTATTGCGCCACAACAAAAAGGCTGTGCTAAGGGAGCTATGGGATGCAAAGAACAGCTGGCTATCGATTCAGTCATCTGTAACCAAGCCTATACCAACAAAAGGAACCTATACATTACGTACATCGACTATCAGAAGGCATACGATTCTGTACCTCATGAGTGGCTTGTCAGGGTGCTGAGGCTCTATAAGGTAGATGAGCATGTAGTGGCCCTATTAGAACATATGCTGAAGACCTGGAGAACCAGAATAACACTGCATACAAACGGGACCAGCACCATTCAAACTGAGACGATCTCTATCCGAAAGGTCTCTTTCAGGGTGATTCATTAAGTCCCCTATGGTTTTGCCTAGCTATAAATCCCCTCTCAAACCTCTTAAATGCAACAGGGTATGGATATAGTCTGAAAGATAACAGGAACGCATCCATAAAACTGAACCACTTGCTGTATATGGACGACCTAAAGGTAATAGCTGCTACTGAGAATCAAATGAAACAGCTGCTAGAGATAGTCGGTCAGTTCTCAGATGACATAAGTATGCGATTTGGGATGGATAAATGCAAAACCTTATCTATACGTAGGGGGAACATCTACCCTGGAGGATTTTCAAGCTGCAGAGGCCAAAACATTGACGCAATGGACGCAAATGACACATACAAGTACCTTGGAATGGCGCAGGCCCGAAGGATAGACCATAAAAAAATGAAGGAAGCTATATCGCAGACCTTCACAAAAAGAATACGGCTACTTCTGAAAACAGAACTCAATAGTAAGAATCTAGTCAAGGCGATTAACACCTACGCATGCTCTGCCTTGAACTACTCGTTCGGTATAGTTCTGTGGAGTAAAACTGACATCGAGAAACTAGAGAGGCGGGTAAGGACTATGCTAACAAAAAAAGGAGCGCACCATCCTCGCAGTGCAATAGAGCGCACAACCTTACCCCGACAGTTAGGAGGAAGAGGTCTAATGGACATCAGCAAGCAGCTAGCTCAACAGGTACTCGCCTTGCGATCCTACTTCTTTGAGAAGGCCGAGATCTCTGAGCTGCATCGCATCATATGCTCAATAGATGACACAACGCCCTTACACCTTAGTAGACGAGATGACCAACCGAGTCACCAAACCAACGAACAGAAGCTACAACGATGGATTGAAAAACCTCTACATGGGAGACATGCCAACGAGATTAGCCAAGAAAACGTTGACAAGAAAGCGTCAAACTATTGGCTTACCTCAGGCCAAATGTTCCCTGAGACTGAGGGATTCCTTGTAGCTATACAGGACCAGGTCATCCTACCAACAATTACAAGAGGTTCATACTTAAGAACTTGCAACAGTCTGATAAATGCAGGTACGGCTGTCAGGACTCCGAAACAATACAGCACGTAACTGGTGGATGCCAAGCATTCGCTCCAACGGACTATAAGGAGCGCCACGACATAGCTGCCAAAATCATTCACCAGGAGTTGGCATACAAATTCAAACTGATCGAATGCAAGCTACAGTACTACAAATATACACCGCAATGTGTCCTCGAGAACGACAAGTATAAACTATACTGGGATCGCACTGTGCTTACGGACCAATACATAAAACAAAACAGACCTGACATAATCATTGTCGACAAGGGCGCCCAGAAAGTAACTGACTGATGTGGCCATACCTAATAGTAACAATTTAACATACAAGCATAATGAGAAAGTTGCAAAATACAGGGAGCTAGAATTTCAAATTAAACGCCAGTGGAAAATGAAGTACGTGGAAACAATACCAATAATAATGTCATCTACAGGGGTGATACCAAGAAGGCTGCTAGAAAACATCAAAGCGCTGGAACTGAGTGAAAACATTTACAAAATCATACAGAAAGGAGTTTTGCTGGCAACTGCCCGCATAGTAAGAAAATTTATGGGAAATGCAAGTACCTAGGGAGGTCACTATTGAGGCTTACCCCTTTGATGCTTGAAACGTCCGGGTTAAGCCAGAACACCCCGATTAACGGGAGTAACAAAGCCCTACGGCTAAAAAAA